GCCTCCCATAACCAGAATAAAAGCCATACAGATCAAATACTTTATGTCCTCGTCACTGTTGAGGTAGCTTAGTTGATTTCTTTAGCAATTATATACAAGGAGATTTCGTCATAAAGGCATTCACTTCAGTGAATAACCTTTGCCTTAAGCCTGTGGTGGTTTGGTCAACCGTAAATGTAATTCAAAATTCATTGTTTTTAGCATTTTCCAATTATTACCAATTAATAACGACGAAAATTATATATCTATTAAGGAAAAATGGCTCCTATATATTTTCGTGTTATGTTATATTATAAATGTGTTTATTTATTTCAAATGGCAGGCGCTTTGATAGTTATCATTAGCCCTGGAGCTGGCTTCGGGCTTTATAGAGAGAAGGAGGAACATTAAAGTAACAAAAATTCGAGAGGGGACAGAATAATGATCCACGGATGTAAAAGAGACAGACAGACACAAAGGCAAAGAAAAGGTAAGATGAGTACTGTGAAAGGGGTCGAATATGACACACAGTAGGGTGATGGTAGTTTGAAGTGAGAAGTCAACTGCCGATTAATAGACTTTTTTGCCTTATGAGTATACGTTGCCCAGGGTGCACCACATGGAGGTAATTCTATCGCACACCCCATGTTATATTATAAATAAACTCTTTGATAATTATTAAAGAAAATACCTCAAATCAGATTATGATCGATTGCATTTTCGCTTGTATTAGCTAGGATTATTAATCTGGACCATTTTAATTATTTTTCGCGTTTATATAGCACTTTGAAGTAGGTTCCTACATGTTTGGTTGTCCTAAACCTGACTTAAACGCAATGGTCCACACTGATCTCTCCTTTCTGACTCAATTTTAATCACCCACCTCACCCGTCTACTTTTGAAAATGGCATAAGTAAGTTGTGGGGTGTAGAAATGGATTCAGCCAATTCAATCTACGATCTCTCCCTCCCTCCCTCTCTCTTTCAAAATTACTACGCATTCTTGCCTCCTCCCTATTCTATCTTAGTTCGCACCATTCACATTCCAAAATTTATTTTCTTGACGGACTGCTGTTTGATCTTTTTTGATCTCGCGCATGTATATATCCACGAATAATCCCGGTTAATCACCTAAATTGAATTAATTGAATGTTTGCTGAGTAATATGGTATTATAAACTAATAAACCGCGTCATGTCCCGATTACACTCACCGACTGTATTAATTAGCAGGATCCCAAAAATACCAGTGGCGTTTCATAACCCTTAAAGTTAGGATCCTCGGTAGAACTTTCTGCCTAATTATGTCTATAATATTTATGGAATTCAATGCTTAGGAAATAAATATTTACTCCTTGTGGTTGCTAGGGCAACTGCGCATGATGCAAAATATTGAATCTTCAGTCACTTCTTGGGTGGGGTAAATAGTTCAAAACGCAGACTAAGCTGATCATCAAAAACCACGCCGGTGACCATTGAAAGTGAACTAAAAGTAACCCAAATTCATTGGAATGGTATACAAATTCAGATCATAACCTACCTTAGGAATTTTCCAATGCTTATATGCAATAAACTAAATTACTCATGGTAAAATAGAGCCCTGTAAATTTGGTTAAATTTCAGATATCAGGTTAATTAGTTGTAACTTGAGACGCAAATGTAATTTAACCCTTTAAGGGCCGAAATATGTCTTAAAAACATGCACCAAACCGCACTCACGTGTGTCTCACAGCAGACTGATGCCGACGAAGTGGTGGGTTCTGGTGATGTATCAGAGGAAGGATATAAGCATATTGAACATGTTTCGAACGGCAATAGCTCCTTCTGTTACGAGTCTAGTACCATTTTGAAAGAGGATTGTACGGTCCTATAGACGTTAAAGGGCTATAAATTGGAAGGTACGGTGACACAAGAATAGCTTAATGAAAATGTTGGTACGACTGAGTTACCAACAGGATTAATAGTTCTTTATTTAAATTGAAGATTAACCAACTAGAGTGGAGTTGGTGAGGCTTGTAGACGAGAGGTCTCACATTTATTTATTTCAACTGGCGGGCTTTATGATACTTATCATTAGCCCTTTAGCTAACTTCAGGCTTCACAGAGGAGAGGAACATCAAGGTGAGATAAAGTGGAGAGGGGTAGCAGAAGAGTGATTCAAAGATATAAAAAAGACAGACAGGCACAAAGGCAGAGAAAAGGTAAGATGAGTACTGAGGAAGGGGTCGAATATGATATACAGACGGGTCATGATAGTTTGAAGTATAAGTCAACTGCCGGTTAATAGACTTTTTTGCCGTATGCGAATACATTGCCCAGGGTGCTCCACGTGGAGGTCAGTCTATCGCACACCCCACACTCAGTAACATGGAACACTTTGAAATAAGCTCTCCATATATGATATGACATGGTCCGTCTATCCCATTAATGCACGCTTCTTGGCATAGCAATAGAGCATTCACAAAGGAGACTATGGAAAAAAAACACATTAGGCGTAAATAACGTGTATTTTTTCAATTCTTTTTGTGCCAAATTTTGTTGGCGTGTTTGACTTCTCGAGTCGTTGTATTGTCTACACTTAAGTGAGAACAAAAACACAATTCTTAATTAATGAATACGCGATTAGAATAATAGAGTGCCATATTTGATCCAAAAAACCTAATGCGTCGAGTACTTGAAATTTATTTAACAGAACAGCACCTTGTAAAGAAGATAGATATTTTTGTCAAATATTTATTTCAAACAGCAGGCGTTTTGATATTTATCTTTAGCCATTTAGCTAACTTCGGGCTTCACAGAGAGGAGAAGGAACATCAAAGTGACAAAAAGTCTAGAGGTGGTTGGACAGAATAATGATTCATAGATGTAACAGAGACAGACAGACACAATGGTAGAAAAAGGTGAGGTGAGTACTGTGAAAGTAGTAGAATGTAACATACTGTGGGGTGATGGTAGTTTGAAGTCAGAAGTCAACTGCCAGTTAATAGACTTTTTGCCGTATGAGTATACGTTGCCCAGTGTTCACCACATGGAGGCAAGTCTATCGCACGCCCCTTTTTGTCAAATGTAGAACCGAAAGTATGATAATTAAATGTCTACCATTTGAATTCTACTCCTATATTAAAGCTCATTATGGCCTGACTTAAAGAGGTCAGGGTAGACCAACTCTAGCAAGGCATTTTAAGATGATCTTAAATTTAAAACATGTTTCAAAAGAAAATGTCTTTAGCTGAGGAGTGTATCTTGACATCTCCCATACATAAGTCAATAAATAAGGCACATTATTTTGCACCTATTTCAAAGGGAATCTGGTAGGAAGTTAAAAAACGTATACTTCAGTCAATCTGCGTCTCATCTGCCTTCGAAGAGACCGTTGCAATCGAAGATAGCTCTAATGCACTTGTCATTAACGTTCGAATTGGATCCACATGTAGATTGGCCTGTATGTGCCTTATATAATTGACCGACATCTTTTCAATCACCAAGTTTTACATTTCTCCTGTTAAATATCAATTTCAAATATTCGATCAATAATCCAGTTTCGATCTCCTTTGCTCAGGTAGCTAGCATCTGATTGGTAGCCGAGGGGTGGGAGTGGCAGCATCAATAGATGAAAATGGCTAACAATCACAAAGTACGGCACCCCTAACCTAAAAGGAACTAATTCGAATGAAAGGTGTGCCAAAAATTCTACTTCGAAATTCTAGCAGCATATAATTTTAACATTTCTCCACCAACCATCCCCAACGATTTGGGGGAAGTTAAATGCTTTACTACCGAATTAGAGTGATAGGCACTAAAGCGAATTACGGAAGTTAAGTCTCTAGCAGTATGACAATTCCCAATAAGCTCTGACCGAGATAGGCGCAAACAAGTGAAGATATCCATGGACATGACTTTATCCCCCCCCCCCCCCAAGACATCGAACATAGAACCCCTCCGGCAAAGAGGAATACGACTTGTGGCATTATGTGAATGGCATAGCCAACAAACATAAGATAGAACAAAATGAGGTCAGGCCGGGAGGTTATTCACACTATAACAGAAAGAATTGACTGTGAATCCGGAATCTGACATTAGTAGAAGTCAACGTGCCCTTTAGTCAAGCCAGATATTGGAAATAACTAACGAGGTAAATGGCCAATCGCAATTGGCGATTCTGATAAACATGAATAGTATGAGAATACGAGTTTCTCCTGGAAGCGGCTCCAGGATATCCTCATGGGTTGGGAAAGTGTTCTCTAAACTCAAGTCATTGTAAGCAGAAGTGAACGCATATGAATGCTCACAACCACTCTTAGTGATCAAATGATTAAGAGGGTCAGCACATGTGCCTAAGTGATATCTCTTCTCTGCTCGAGAAGAAGGCTGGAAAACACTTCATTTCAAGCAACACATGATTGCCGAGCATAAAACTGATTTAGCGCAGACAACTGTTCTTCTATTGGGTATGCAAGTATCTCATTACAATTATTAATGCAGCATAAAGGACTGAAAAAAGCGCCGTTAATAATAGGTACTACCCGCAGTTTTCAAAAAGGCAGAACACCCTGGTTGGAACGAGAGAAGCAATTAAATCATGAGAATAGAGAATGAAAGTTTGGAGACAAACGCGCGCGTATAGGGGCACAGGCAATTGATGGTTCAAATGAGAGGGGAACGAGAGAGGATGTTTTTGTACTGTGCTTTTAAAAGAAGCGGGACGATTGAAGAAAAAAGAATTGATAAAAGCGTCTTGACGTGGCAGCTGGGGTCTGGCTATCACCGCCACTCCATGATAGAAAAATCAAGATATTGACATTAGAGAATGTGAAAAAAGTGAAAATTTTCGAAAACCTGAGGGAGGTCATGCTCCAGCTGCCTAACCTTACTATCGATTTCAAGACTTAGAATAGACTTCTACTGACTGCTGAAATCCCCCCCCCCCCAATTAATTCAAAAGCCAATAGATTGATAGAGCAACTACAAGCCGATTTATTTTATCAATGTAAAATGTCATGAATCAAGCAAATAGAACACCACGATTAGTGCACATCCTGACGTGCCTTCTCAGCGAAGGTCTAGAGGAAGAAAATACATAATGAAAGTTAGAAAAAGACTGCAAGCTGCTTATTTCAAGGATATGAAAAGACAGCCAATTACCTTATTGACTGCAAGTACATCATCCCATTTCTCCTCCTTCAACAACTTGATGGCTTCAACGAAAATGCGCTTGACAGTCTCAGCACTCTTCTTGAAGTTGGCAACCACGGTCTCCACGCTCACCTAGAGGGAATCAACGATAAAACGTAATATCAAATCTTAAAGAAGACGTAAGTAGAGGGAAAGCAAAAATTAAACTCACAGCTTCACGACTTTCATGCCAGGCGTCATAATCAGTAACAATGGCAAGAGCAGCATAGGAAAGACCAGCTTCCTTTGCCAAGATTACTTCGGGTACGTTGGTCATGTTGATGACATCGAAGCCATCCCGATGGAAAATTTTGGACTCACAACGACTCGAAAAACGAGGACCCTCGATTGTGACACAACTGCCTTTTAAGTGGAGATGGGGACCGTCATGCTCGTCACGAGGCTGACCTGGAACGTAGATCTTGGGGACATACTTTCTGGCAGCCTTAGTCAATACCTATGAGAATAAGAAGAGGTAGATTAGGAAACTACTTATCAAGTCAATAATGTAACCGATAATGTTAAATTGTCAACCATGCGCGAAAGTTGGCAGGTAGAAAAACGATGCTTTTGCATTATCGCCAAGAGCACTGTTCCTCAGGCGCAATGGCTGGCGAGAACTTTCAATGATCAATTTCCCATCGCTTTAGGTCTTATCAAAAACAGGGGTAGTTGAAGCTACGCATGTCAAAATGTAGTCTTAAATGTTACCCTTGAATGGGATGAAAGTCTTCAAGTAGCTCTAACCTCCAATAAGGTCATTTCTATAATCCAGCTGAGTTATGAATTAACGTGCGCAGGTGTGCTTCAAAAGAGTTTGACAAAGAAAATAGAAAATAATGTTATTATTCTGATTCCCATGAACCAAACCTTACTGCCGTTTCTCCAAACCATTTCGTCTGCTGCAGCTGTTCATCCACTAATCCGATAGACTCAACTCCACATGATGACCCTGAACAACGCAACCTCATAAGAAAAAAAAAACGAATATAAATCGGCAGTTGACCTCAAACTACCATGACCCCACTGTATGCCATATTCGACCACTTCCACAGTACCCACCCTACCTTTTTCTCTTCCTTTGTGTCTGTCTATTATATCTGCGAATCAAACCTATGTTCCCTCTCCCAACTTTTTGTGACTTTGATATATATACATTAATGCCTATAAATAAAAGCACCACTAGAAGACCCCGGGAAAAATCCAAGGGACTTAGAAAAGAGTAAAGTCGAAGAATAGTTTTATCGCGTATGAAGTTTGAAATTTTCGACTTGTCTGCAAATTCATTATTTGGTAATTTTAATAACACACTTAATTTCTTATTAATCGATGTACTTAGCGTACTCGTCTGGGAAGCCTGAGATAACCAATTCGATACTCAGCGAAGCACACTCAGCAGAGTGAATGGCTAACCGACAAGAGAAATAGCTAAATTTTCGTTTCTCACCATGGAGGCTCCACTACACCGCCCCCAAACTTGGATATCACAAGAGAAACAATGCTACAGCAGCATTCAAAGCAAAAAATTGCAAATATAGAGGGAACAACATGGAAAATAAATGTTAATCTAGAACATAGAGGAAGATTCTTAAGGATACTTTATTTATGTACTTCAAAAAATACATAAAAATTCAGACTATAGGTTAGTAGCCGAAACATAATAGCCTGTCAATAGCTTAGATAATTTAACTAAAGGGTTTTAAGCGACTAAGCAGTTAGAAATAGTGCAGTGACCGAATAAACTACAAACCAAGAATTATAAAAGTATTCCATCATCAATTGAGGAAAGTGAACGCTTAGTCATTTAAATCGGTACATTACTTTTTGAGCAGTGCGTTTCCACAATTATATGCACTTCGCAGGAGACAACCTGAACGTTTTTGGATTCAACAATTGACGTTTTCATTCAATACAGTAGACCAGTTCATTACTGTTGAGCTACGAACACAATAACGCACAAAAAATTATTAAAAGAAAACACTTGTTAATAACACCTAATATCTCAGTGTGGCTAAAATTTTATAAACGAACAGCGTTAAAAAGAAATCTAAACAAATTGTCCCCATCTTTAACTAAAGTGGTACTCAACAAACGGTAGGCGATTCTTAGGCAAATAGACACCAAAACAACATGTTTCAATGGAAGATAAATACCTAACGGTAAATACATTCAAATACATGCCTCACGAGTGCGTTGGCAGTAGATTTCACCACAAGGAATGTGAACAACACCCTCCGGATGATTTGATTCGGCATCATAAAAGGTTTGCCTGCGGTTATGGGTACGATCAAAGAAGTCATCGAGGACGACCAAGTCCCCTGGATGGGTATGCTCTTGAAGACCACCACAGGCATTTGAGGCCAAGACGTGTGTGCAACCAGCTTGCTTCAGAGACCACAAATTGGCACGGAAGTTGATGTTTCCAGGCATGATGTTGTGTTTACGTCCATGTCTAAATTGATAATGAATGCTTCGTGATAGCCGATGAGATAGTGCAGTTAACCAAAAACAAATTAAGTTCATGTAAAGCACTCAAATTAATGATATTGAAATAAAATTCACATCATTACCTTGGGAGAAGAACGCAAGGAACGCCACAAATGTTGCCTTTAAGAAGAGCATCAGATGGTTTACCGAAAGGGGTATCAACATGAATATCTTCCTGATTCTCAAGGATATTTGGATCATCCAAACCAGATCCTCCAATTATACCAACTTTAATTGAAGACATTGTTAATCTAAAGTGAAAAATGAACGTTAAAATCAAATTTATATCATGTATAACGAAAAATAGCCAACATTAATTTAGATAAAAGAGCCTAATATTCACTGACACTAGATATTCTCACAATATGATGTGAAAGCAACAAAAAATTTAATTTTATGAATAACAATAACATGAGAACCCACAAACACACCAAAACTCAGCGAACCCGCAGAAATATTTGAATTTTCATCACCTGTATTAGTCAATTTAATTTATAATTATAAACAATTATAAGCCTTTAATTATTCTGACTAACTATCAAGACTTTTCATTAAAAACATACAATTTTCATTAAAACAATGCTAAATTTTTGTGCCGACCAATATTGTATAATTCAACATAAAGCGTGTCATTCTGTGTGGAATATATGCCTGCTTTCTTTATTTCCCTCATAAACTTATAATATTTTGCTTTCTTTTTATTCTATTTTAGTTTCATACATCTTATTATTATGTACCTAGATGTTAGAAGCAAATGGAAAGAGTAAAAATTATCATTACTTTATGTTACAATTCCCTTGTAGTCAAAAATCATATTCCACCACCCTATAATATATTATAGCTTGACCTAGTCAGTCATTCCCATTTCTCTAAAAGGATTACTTTTTATGAAGCTCGCAAATTTCTTCTGAGTATAGTTATTATTTAGAATTAAAATATTAAAATTTATTCAGCTATCCACATATGATGTATATGCTTTTAAGTTTGTTAAGGGAGTCATCTTCAGTCGTTTTCATAGCAGAAGCCTAGCAGAAAGACAGGACCCTTATACTGGAACACAACGATTCCCTTTGCACCAGAAGATTTGAATTATATAATTCCTTAAATTAGTAGAATCACCGGTAAATTTTTCGAATAGACAAAAGAGTGAACTACAGAGAATCAGCAATTTTACTCACCATCGAAGGAAAGTGTTCGTTCCACACAAGTTTGCTCGAACTTACCAACTATGACTGAAAACATGACATGCCCATAATGTGGAATACTCTAAAATACCACGAGAATAGATAAATTAGGCAAAACCAACTCTGCTGAGAAAAAGTATGAAATTGGAATTAATATTGTTAGGATTTGATAGTAATTATATATACGGAGGCGGAATAAATCGAAATAGAATGAGCAAGATAGGATACTCTGCCAATCACTCGGTCACTAGTTAAAAAATCATAATTCAGATCAAAAATAACGTTCTCGGCCTATTCATCTTCTGTAAAATATTTCAGCCAAAGATTTCGCAAGCAAGCGCAAAGAATCAGTGATCTAAAGCTTTTTTTCCAAGTGAGCAAAAATGTGAAAATTAAATTGATACTAGTGCTTTCAAGAGGTTTTATCTTAGTACTGCGGCGGATTGCTGAACAAGTAAAGCCTGACTGACTCAGGAATCTCTGTGACAGATTCTCCTACACCTGGCTAGACTCCCAGACCTAGCTAAGCTATAGCCCATCTATAGAGGAAACAGACGTAGTGTCCACGCCGGGAGTAATCATGTTCAGCATGGCGGATTAGTTTGAACAAACGGAGGTTTCTGATTGGCTACATCTCCCAATTCTTGCGTGCGTGCGCGCATGCGATGGAGCGTTAAGCGATGACGGGCCCCACTGCACTAATCATTTATATGACAATATAAAAATTATTATTATTATATCAAATGGTTATCATTAGCCCTTTAGTTGACTTTATGCTTCACAGAGGGGAAAGAACATCAAAGTGAAAAAGAGTCGAGAGGGGGTGGGAACAGAAGAGTGTTTCAAAGACAAAGGTAGATAAGGTGGATAAAAGGTGAGATGAGTACTGAAGAAGTAGTCGAATATGACATACAGTGGGGTCATGGCAGTTTGAAGTCGGAAGTCAACTGCCAAGTAATAGACTTTTTTGCGTATGAATATGCGTTGCCCAGGACGCACCACGTGGAGGTATTTTGGGAGTTATCATTAGCCCTTTAGTTGACTTCGGCTTCACAGAAGGGAGGGACATTAAAGTGAGAAAAATTCGACACGGGGAAAGAAGAGCGATTCACGGATGTAACAAACAGACAGACACAAAGGCAGAGAAAAGGCTAGATGAGTACTGTGAAAGGGGTCGAATATGACATACAGTGGGGTTATGATAGTTTGAAGTCAGAGGCCAACTGCCAGTTAGTAGACCTTTTTGCCGTACGAGTATACGTTGCCCAGGGTGCACCACGTTGAGGCAAGTCTATCGCAAACCCCTGGGATAGAAAAT